CCTTATGTATTTGAGGCTTTTGTGTAGGTGTACATTGAAGGTTAGGCGATGTACGTGAATGCAGGGTAATAGACTGTGTACTTGTGCTACCCAGATCACATCGTAGAGGTCGACATACCTGTCTGACGAGCTGATGGTATGTGCATATTTGTGACCAATTAGATTGCGCAAAATTAAGATAGTATTCGCGCTTAGTTGTTATGTGGTGTGCAAATATGCTAAGTTGAAGAACATACATGGATATAGGGTATTAGAATGACTTTGTGTACAATCTGGACTACACAGCGGAGAAACAAATGCACTGCTAAGCGTACTTGTTAAACAAAGTTCGGTGTTGGCACATCTTTGCACAGCGGTCAAGTGTGGCGTATGTTCTCTTGAAACCACATTTATTGTAAGTTTACTGGATATGTTGTATATCGTAAATACGCCCTTCTGAGCGCACTTGTATAGTCGTTTTCAGTGCTATGATTTGAAGGCTACATACAATATGTGTGCCCTGAAGGTGTACGTATCTCTGTCGTCGTGTATCGAACGTCCATTAAAAGCATTTGTTTTGGTGCTATGCATAGCTATTATTCTTTAAGCGCAAAAGGTGTGTGACAACTGACATCGTACTCTGAATTGAATCACAACAACAGGGCACACAATTCTACATACCCGACGAGCCCCCGGATCCGGAACGAACAGTTTCAGAGCAGCAGGAAAAGATCCGGGATCATATTCATTAAATACAAAGAAGTCATAAATATCAAATTAATATCAAGTGTATCTTTTAAGTTCAGGTTCGGAGTGTACAAGGTCGCCACGTCATGATTTGCATAAGGACTTCGATTGAAATTTATTGCCATTCATCATCGCAGCTCAAATTCGTCAACTCGATCACAAATGTCGCGATAACTGGAGAATACATTTCAATACATCCGACTAGCATTTTATGAATTCGAGCAAGTAGGGCTGCGGTGTAGTCACTGGTCAGCCAGACTGTAACTTTAGAAGAAGAAAAGAAGGACCTCGGAGGCCTATTGGTCAGTAGCTGCCCAAATTTACTACAGCGTGTCGCATGGTGCTATATCTTTACTGTAGTATGTACTTTAACCATGAGATTCACTATTTACGAGTTGTTCACGAAGCCCCGTTGGAATGTATCCAACAGCATATAAACGTCATTTTTTGTTGATACGCGTTGTCAACATCATGTCGGTGCGCACACTGTCAATGTCGCACGTCACGATGGCATATACATGATAATAACAACCAGAACAGCAACAACATTCAGGGCACCTGCGATGTTCGGAACAACATTGCTTGGAGTTGCCTTTCTATGCCCGGTGGTGGAGTGATAGAACGTTGCCAAACTATAAAAGTTTAGGAGCGTATCCCCCATTAATTGGTTTTATAGTATGAACCCTCCTAAATAAACCGTTCCCGTGTCAATCTGCGGCGATGATGAGCCACCAACAACAAAAGAGTACAAACCGGTATATCTGTATATAGTGCCCATACAAAATTATCGATGCACGTAGAAAAATTTATCGTATTAGTTTGTGCTGGGTATTCGGCGGAACCCACAAACGGTGATCACGTTTCGATTCACGATGCCTCGATATTATTTCGTACTATTGACGTCTTGGGTATGAGTTTGTACTATGGGTAAGTTTCTAACATCAGTATATGCTATTGGTTTGCTCACTATTCGATCTGCATAACATATTTTTCTACTGTGTCTGACAGGGGCTTACGTTGTTATTTACAATAGTCTTCATTAATAGTGGTGAAATGTTGTTTGGGTAGTCTGTGGGCTTTCGGGAGACCAGGCGATGTGCATGTGTGTCTACGATGCTAATTCTAGAAACTGTAACGAACCCGAAACTATGTTCCGGCAGCTGATGTATACAGCAATTGTACCTATACGTGATGATAGTAGCGCGCGTGCAATACCGACGTTGAGCCCAACCTTGATATATCAGATTAACCCGTTTGGCCTTTGACGTAGTCCTCAGCAATGGGCTGCCTGTAAATTTTCTCCTGGATTGGTTTGTGAACTACCTTTTCGATATATGTATAAATAGTATCGTGGCCGTGATCTTGCAAAGGTGGGAAAATAATGCCAGTATCGAGTTTTCGGACGTATCTCTGGAGTTTCAGACTTGGCTTGTACAGTAAACTCGAAGATTGAGGGTGAAACTTTGCGTGAGCACGTTCCCAGTTTGATAGTTGATGGTGCAATACTATAACTTAAGAAGTTTGTTTTATTTGGAGTACGAAATGGTCACTATAGGCCCATATGTTATATGTCGGCTTCTATAAAATGACTCAGCGCATAGCCATCGCCCTTCCGTGTCTAATTTGAAGGGCTCAACGAGTATGAAATTATGAGCGCCTTTTTTTTTCGTATATACTTTTATATAGCCCTCTCGGAACTCGGAATTCTCGATGCTTTTTTTCTTGATTACTGTATTTATATGACAATTTTTATACAATAAAAAACACAAACCACTGATTAGTGATCAGTGATCAGACTCGCAAGGGTCAGACTTGAGACTTCAGACTCCAGAGGCTCATGCTGCCATGCAGACTCCAAGAGTTTTGAGTTTCATCAGACCAAATTTTAGGAGGCTATGAAAATCACCTGCCTTTTTTTTATAAGAACAAATTTATAAAAGGAAAGCACAAGACAGGAGACCACTCACAATTGCTTATTTTATTTTTATGTGCAACTATTCTTGCTTATAACTCAGCCAGCCAGTCAGCCAGCCAGCCAGCTGCCAGTCCCATCAAGATGACTCTAGTGACTGTTACCATCTCACCAGTGACCAGAGTCCACTCAGTCCAGGACTCCAGACCTCCACCACCTGGGGCCGTCTCGCTACAGTCTACTCTCTCTCACGCCTGAGAGAGAGAGGCGACTACTACATACTAGAGGGAAAAAGACGTCAGTCTGGGGCCCTGGGCGGGCTAGGCCCTGGCGTCTGCCCACCAGGGGCCTTCTACTACTCTCCTGAAAAAAGGCGCCAGCCTAGCGTCTGCCTAGCTAGTGCCCCAGCCTGCCCCGCTGCCCCCCACCCGCGGCCCCCGGCGGCCCGGCCAGCAGGCAGGACCTACTACTAGTAGTAGAGAGGTTCCCGGCTCCCTGTGGACCCCGCCTCCCAGAGTCCCAGGTCCTGGGGGCTGGCCGTCTGGGACACTGGGGTCTCTCAAACTCTCAGTGACCACTGACCAGGGCAGTCTCTCAGAGTCTCTGACTCAGACTCTCACTCTCCGAGACTCAGACTCTCACTCTCAGAGACTCAGACTCTCAGAGACTCAGACTCTCAGAGACTCGGATTCTCAGTCTCAGATCTCAGTCTCAGACTCTCAGTAGCTCAGGCTCTCTAAGACCGAGAGGCGAGAGGGTGGCATATTCCTAATGATTGGCTCATTGGCACTCTCTGGCGGTCTGGCCTCTGCCCGCTGTCACTGTGCCCAGTGCCCTCGAGGCTCGGGGCTCACCGGCTCAGGGCCTCAGGCATTCTGGCATCTCCTGGGCTCTGGTACAAGACGCCGGCGTTTGGCAAAAAGATATGTCAGGCGTGTACGTCGTTGTCAGATGCCAACCCAGGCCGCCCGCCCGCCCGCCCGCCCGCCCGCCCGCCGCCCGCGTCTCTGCCTTCTCTGGCGGTCTGACCTGATGAGTGATGAGTGCTGGACTCTGGACTCTGGTAATCAGGTAGTGCACTCTCTGCACTGTGCAGCCAGTGCACTGCATTACTGCAGTGTGCAACCCTCTACTCTGCACTGCTGCAGTCTGCAGTCTGCACGGTGTCCTGTCTGTCTGCACGGTGTCCTGTCTGTCTGCACGGTGTCCTGTCTGTCTGCACGGTGTCCTGTCTGTCTGCACGGTGTCCTGTCTGTCTGCACGGTGTCCTGTCTGTCTGCACGGTGTCCTGTCTGTCGGCACTCTGCAGAGTGCAAAGTCTGTAGACAGTAGCAATGCAGTGACTGCAGTCTATATTTAACTCTGCACTCTGCTCACTGCAGTCTGCTGTGACTTTTCACAACACACACAAGGGAGAAGTACATACTGAAACCAGAACTCTGGCGGCCTTGTCGGGCTTGCGAAGAATGCAGGCGTCGGGCGGCTTTGTTATGCCATATTCAGTTATTCTGCAGTTATTCGCTTGAACTGTATGAGTTCGTACTTCATACCACGACCCTCTCTACTCTAGTAGAGAAGAAATGAAAATATGGCTGAACGGACTCACGTCCATAGGTCATACAGTCATAAATACTTCATACAAATTTTTATGTATTAGCCAGAGGCCCAGACTGGCAGACTCAGAGTTGCCACAGATTTTTTTGGTTTATTTTGTTAAAAAATAAAAGATTAAAAGAATGATCTATATTTTCAGAAGGCTATGAAAAGAAACACAATAATTACAAATATAATGAAATACATACATAAATAAATTGTACGCGCCGGAGTACTCTTATTACTCGACACTCAAAAGCTGCGGTTTCACTGGATGTATTTCAGTATTTGAGCTTATATTAATCTCTACTCTTTACATATCGGTATAAAATAGTCGTTGGGGGATTTCTTAAATAGTAAAACTTCTTGAAGGTTCTCTTTCTCAGACTCAGGACTCGCAGAGACTCAGGGTCTATCAGAGAGCCTCTGGACTCTGGAGTCTGGACTCTGGACTTTCAGACTCTTTTACTTTGTGACTCCCTATGTTCATCAATATTTGATATGGCGTTTGTTTAAAATGTATCGTCGTGGTGTTCGCATTTTGACTTTTTTTCGTCCATGAAAAAAATATTTAATTTTGAATTTGCCAGAAACTGGCTATTGGCAAGGTTTGTACTATGGTTTGTATCTAGGGTATATAAAAGGAGTCCTGCATTTCATTCTCGGTCAAACTATAAATATAATAAAACAAACAAATATTAGTATCATGCCGCACCTAATAACTAACCGACGTCGTGAGTATAAGGGGATCAAAATATATGGCCATTCAGTGCCCCTCGAGGGTCTGAATGCACTAATGTACCTGATTGGGGGAGTAGGTTTCCTGATAGGTTCTGTACTATTCCTGCCTATCTATGACGATTATAAGGGCTCCGGGGCCTGGCTGTTTGTAGGCAGTTCATTCTGCTTCGTAATGGTGGCGTTGCACGATATTCTGGAAGCGAGGAGCATATTAGATAAAGCATGGCGAGTACTCTGGGTACGACATGTATACGATAAAGAGGAGAAATCGAAAACAGTGATTGGAATTTGGAAATGGTTGGAAGTAGTTGTAGCAGTGGTTTATTCCATTGCCGCAATCACTTTTGTGGTGGGTAGCTTCTTCTTCGTGCCAGAGTACGAGAATACAGCAGTAGGTTCATGGCTGTTTGTGTGGGGATCTGTACTTTATGGCTTTGGCGCCTGTATCAACATGCTACAGGTTTACCTGAAGAGTTCCGCCGTTCTCATACAGCTGCTGATGTTTACCTCTGCACAATTCTTGATTGGGTCGGTGTTGTTTCTGGTAGGAAGCGTCGTCTTCTTATTAGACATTCAAGATCCCAGGCCGGTGTATATCATAGATACCTTTGCAGGGTGGTTGTTCATTGTAGGTAGCATCTTATTCGTTGGTGGTGCGTTGACTAATGCACTGCGAGCGAAGTACAGCCATAGACATGAGAACAAAATGGGGCCAAAGAAACAAGAAATCGGGGACGCGGGCAATAAGAAAACTATTCCGAGTGGTGGTGTGATGGGTTCCGTTGCACACATAGCGTAACCGTGTGTACGACAGCGGTATCGTCGGGCTGGCCGGGTCGGATAGTACAAACAGTTCATTATCTTGTCCACTATACCGGAGCATCACACAGAACACGAATATATATATCACAGCACCTGTTGTAGGGCAATGACAGCAGCTAATGGTAGTGGCTATATGTTCATGCTAGGTGTGTGATGTAGCACTAGACTGTACTCTAGCCTACTGCAGCAATTTTTATGTCTCGAGGCCCAGTGTTTCAAGTATAATCATTACAGATTCGACTTTGGGTGCAATCCAAAATAGTAAATAATTCTCGGAGCAAAGGATGTTCAACATGGCTACTAAGCAAATACGGAATCGATAGACAGCTCCGCACAGCAACACCAACACTGCCAGAAGGCAAAGGCTGAGCGCCATTCAATAAAAACCAAAATTAGATATGTACCAAGACGGACACTGGTCAGAAGGACCAGAAGTAACCTTGACCTTGATATACAGGTAGCCTTCTGAATCATCCAGGTCTGCAGTATTCAGACAAAGCATGATCCTTGCTCGTTAGTCGAGACACCCCATATGGCATGTGGCCCAGACTCTCAGGTTCCAAGACTCACAGTGTGCCATGCATTGAAGACAAAGGATAGCAACTGTATATAAATATGCAATCAGTGTGTCACGTAACACAAATAAATATATGAATGATTGTTCGTTCGTAAACTTTCTTTGCGTTTTTTTGAATGTTTATAAAAGTTTATGCTATAATATGTTTTGTGTGGATTTCAGCGGCCTAAATTTTCGAGTGAGCAGTTGATCGTTTTTATTTACGTTACAAAACGTATAAAATCCTAATATCTGCGTAGCACTGCATTAGCGCCTTACGTTCGACTGCATGTAACTATCTACTTTCGTGTCGCTCACTAACGTTGTGTGGTTGGTTGCCTACTACAGTACTTGTTTATGAAATTGTAAAAGTGCTTTCTAATAAGGTTATGTATATGTAGTACCACAGCATCTTTATCAAGAGCTGTGATGTTATGATATATGGTGCACTAAGCGAGCCTATGGACACAATTAAAAGTCAAACTCAGATTCAATATGGTATAGTTAGTAGAGAATAGCAGCCGATGTACAAATAATAGCAAATAGCAACCCAGCTGCGTATAGTATTCAACGTAAGATCATAGGTATATGTGCATATCTATTCAGGTATCAATACATAACCATGGCTAGAAGTTGTCATAAGGTGCTGCCGTATGAAGCGGAGATATTCTCGCAGATGGTGGACGAAGATGGATTGTTGATCATGGGGAGGGTATGTACTATATCATATTATATATATATATATATATGAATACAGACACACATACACGTATATATATATATATATATATATATATATATGTATATATATATATATATATATATATATATATATATATATATATATATATACATGTATGTCTGTATATATATATATATATATATCTATATATATATATATGTGAGGACCTAANACANANATANATATATA